GCAACACAAGAGTTGGCCAAACCAACCTAATGCCACTGAAAAAAAGTACAGAATAAAAAAACGTACAGGACCCAAACCTGAATTTGTATTTCATCAGTTGCCGCAGAGAATTCAATGGGCAGTGCGACACAAAAGGAGATGAGTACGTGAAATTTATCCCACTAAAGTCAGGAAACAGTAAGTTAAAAAAAAATTTTTTTTAGTTGCGTTTGCTATCATCGTAAGAATTATCAAGTGTTTCTTAGTTTCAGTCAAAGGAACCTTTGGCCAAATTTTCCCAAGGCCTTTCTTGGATTCCAGTGACTCCCAAGGCTTAACATTGGGTTCCCAAGGCCTGCAGAGGGACTTCACTAGGAGAGGCTGATACAATACTTCGCAAGGTTCAGAAAATCAGATAAGCAAGGTCACTTTCTTTCTGGCCAGAACAAGCTATTGGCTGTGAAAAATTAGGCATTGGAACCCTGAAGCCATAAGGCCGAGGAATTTAGAGTGAGGGAAGTTAAAGAAACAGGAACACTCAGCATCTTAGAATGTGTGGCTTTTCTTTATAAACGCAAAAGGAGTCATTATATAACCTGATCACCTTTAAGGTTATTTTGCCACATGCATTTGGGGTTAAGCACGAGTTTTAAAAGGTAGGGAGGCTAATGTTCTCCCACGGCAGTGTTTGCATTTCCTATTGCTTTCTTGTGTGCACTATTTTTAAAAGAAACATTACACACAGGAACCCCCAAGGCGACGGTACCAATGAAACAATGCCAGCTTGGAAATCCAGAGGAGACTCTGGTTTTCATTATGCGAGTGAGAGGTCGTTATTTGAATGTGTGTATATCTCTCTTCTTTCTTTAAATCCATCCTCTTGGTCTCCAACCTTCCAGTGCGCCCATGTCATTATTCTTTGGGTGTTTTAAAATTATGAACATAGAGGAGAGCCAACTGGAGTCTCACGGTCCGACTAGCTAATGGAAAGCCTTTGCTGCACGGACGTCATTCATAAGATCAACTATGTCATAAATCACATATTGGCCTGTGTGGCCGTAATGAGAATAAGAGAAATGGTCTCAATTCTCCCTCTGGTTCTTCTACTAAGACAAGGATCTGTTCAGCAAAATGATCTCTTCAGGGGCTTTACCAAGTGGCAAGGGAGCATGAAAAACCAACATTTCTCACATTTCTCCATTATTAAGGAGTGGGATTGCAAAATGAGGAATTGTACAGTTGAAGGCCATGCATTTGTGTAATTATTCTGGTCTCCATCTCCAAAAGAAAGGCTTTGAGATAAAATGAAGAAGCCTATTTATCAGTTGTGACAGTTTTGTCTTTTTATCTACTTTCTCATAAATGAGAGAGACATGATAAGGTTGTTTAAATTCTAAATGTAAACATCTATGAAGAATAAATTCATGATGTGAAACCTGGAATTTCTGTTTACATTCTATTTATAGAGGGTAGGTGTGTTCAGTAGTGGTTGGTAGAAAATAGGAGGAAAGGGAAGTAGCAATTACTGGCTAATCTTTGTAATTAGAATTCCTCTCCCTGTATCTTCTGCATGCCTATCTGGAAACGGGCTTAATAAGTCTACTCAATCTTTGGATTTGGGGCCCTGAAAAACCATGAGGACTTTTGCTTCTGACTGCAGAGAACAGGAATTAAAAGCTTTCCTATCACTCTTACCATTTCTAATGGATTTCATTGTTTAGTTTACTGTTACTGTGGGCAGATAATTTCACATTCATGGCCCTGATAAAATTTGAGGCTCAAAGAACCCATCCTCAGTGAATTTACAAGTAAAATCCACTTCTTGGCAATTTAAACAGCTACTGAATCAATCTTACTTGGGCCTTCCACTATTTCTTAAATTAGTAACATAGACCAATTTTCAATAAAGAGGCATAATAAATTGAGAAATCTCAATTATTCTGGCCATTCCCATTGTAAGTATGTAACGACTAAAGTGATACCAAGGAGCACCTATGCTGGCTGAAAAATCCAAGGATTATTGAGGGAGTGCCTATCATCCTCTCGCTGAGATGGATTCTGGGGAAATCATGATGGCAGGCTTGCAGGCATACTGCTGTGTTTGGACTATTATTGCATATGCCGTTTGGGAGGACAGTCAAGCTGCTTTGAGGTTCTTACAGTTTGTCCAAGAAATTATGTTTCAGTGTTGTTTCTGCAGAATGTTTCCATCCTTTAAAAATTATACTGTGTGCGTGTGAGAGAGTGTGTATGAGTACATAGGGATTAATCTGTGAGATGAGATTAGAACAAAACGGAACCTGCTATTTCCATATGACTAACTCAAGGCAATCATAAAGCTAACCTATAGTTAGTATAGTCAATATTCTGATAAGGTTAGCCTATGGTAGAGAGAAACTACTTCATTAACCTTATCAAATATTGTCTCCCTGAATGGGTTTTCTGCATGGTTTTGGATGTTCAAGCGCATCGTGGCTCATGATGCTCACCTTGTCTAAGCTTTATCCCTCTCTCCATATGGTGATGAAAATTACTTCTTTGGTAAACTCCATCAGGAAAAGACTGTCAGTGCCACCACAGTGCCTGGCACATATATTAGATTCATAGTAAATACTTGTTGGATGAATGAATGAAAGAATGCTGCCACTCTCCTTTTTATATTCCCTTCCCCACCTTCAAACTCATTACATGATATTGTAGTTATTTGATCTGAGTTCCATTTAGAGTAAGGATATTATATCACACTCACACAGATCCTATCATAGTAGCTGGTCAATAAACCTTTGTTAAAGGAGTTGAGGATTGCTGAGTACCATCTGCTCCTTCAGGAGAAAATGATTGGGATTCCCTGGGCTTCTTTGTTCATGAAGAATGACTGTGATTTCCTATCTCCATCATAGGCTGATCATCACATGGGCCAGGATAGAATTCAAACTTACTGATCTCATCAGTGACTGCAAAGAGAAATGTCCCACAATATAGAAATATGACTAGATTTGGAACTATTTAGGTCGAGGGCTTTTTTTTTTTTTTTTTTAATGATTCTTCAAGGCCATCTTTGATACCTGCATGAGGCTGATTGCTAACACCTGAGCAACAATTTAGAGCTTAAAGGTAGCCTTCTTGGTTGGTCCACAAGACCAGCATCCTAGTCACAGATATTTCCTGGGATAGCCCTGCTGGAGATGCCACAACCGTGCTGTTGATAGGCAGGGATTATGTCATATCCAGCTCCCAAATGGAGATGTTATTTTCTCCCATGTGGTGTCAAATGCAAGCTGATGTTCTGACTTGAGAGGGAAAAAAAGGCTCTACAAAATGGACCTGCAGCTGTAGGACGTAATGATGGCCTCAAAGAAAAAAGGAGGAATAATCACATCCTGGGTGCAGTCCTGGATGGGGTGTCCCCAATCTAAGTGTCTATGAGAGTACCTCCTCCCTCATGTGAACAGCTTTGCCCCTCTGGTGATCATCTTAATGAAACTTGCCTGAGTCACTCTTTGGGCAACTGGAGCCGTGTTTAGGCAAGTCTCAGTGACAGCATCAGCATCCACTGCAGACAGATGGTGACAGGCACTCACCTTTCCCTGGCACCTTTCCTTCCTGTAACATGAAGGACTGCTTTTTGTATATGGATCAAAAAGAAGAAACCATCTGACCAACAGCGTGCAACAGGAAATCCAGTTTCATTTCACAGCTTTTCTGTGTGAACATTTTCACTGCCATATGTACCTAGTCTCTAAATATTCTCTTCCTCTTCTACTGTCTATTCAGCATTTCTTCAAATTAACTTCTCTTTGAACTAATCATGATTGCCAGTTATTGAACAAGTGCAATACTTTTGGTGATTTCTCTGTGAAAATTTAGACATGGTGAGCAATTTTATTGTATTACTTTTTCCCTTAAAAGTAATCTTTCTGGTTTCATGTTGCTTGTTCTTGGATATCAAACTTCTTGAAGACTTTTGCTAATTCTGAACAAATGTCAATATAAGAAGTCATGAACTTCAAGGGCAAATGCATTGTATTTACTGTCAGCCTTCTGCTGGGATCTTGACAAGAATCGCATGGCGCTACCTCAAGTTGATGCTTCAAGGCAGTTAACAGTCCTGTTGGTTGAAGTGAGAGTCATTAAACAGCTGACATAGGGCGAGAAGAAGGTTGAGGACAAATAGATTTAAAATCGATATCTCTTAAAACCTTTTTACTCGCTAAAGATGAAGTTTGCCATTCATCTGTCAGTACTTGCTTTCTGCCATATTGATTTCTCAGATCCAAAGGCTTGGGTGAGTAGAGATTTGACATTTTTCTTTTTCTACTGATAAATTTTCCTTTTAGCTCAGGTCGCCATATTCTCCTTCCAGGTTTTAACACTCTAAGACTTTTTTGTTTTTTTAAATTTATAACAACTAACTGTCCACATAATTTTGAGGATTTCTCTAATGTTTGTAACCAGTGCCACGGGAAGTATAGTCAGGTCCAAAGTTACTTATCCATAATTCTGAAATCTAGAAAGTTCTGAAAAAATAGTTTTTTTCATTATGTTTGGCACAAATTAATTAGATGACAAAAACCTGACATGAATGGATGCAAGGCTATTTATAGTCTCTAATAATCTTATGTGGTGTGATTATTCATACCTATTGCTGCAGAAATATTAACACATTTGATTAAGGGTGCTGTCCTAGACTCTGGCAGGGTTGTTACAAAGTACACCATAGATAACTTCATAGAATATGAAAAATTATGAATTCCAAATATATCTGTCTCCGAGAGTTTGGGTTAAGGAACTGAAGACCTGAACTAAACTGTGATGGTAATGATTTTTCACTTACCTGCTAATTTTCAGCCAAAGTCACTAAGCTGAGGAAAATGACAAGACCATGAATATAACTTTACAGGGACAATTGCAGTGACCTGACTTGCTCTCTACTTCAACATGAGGCAAGAGTCTTGCTCTTTCTTGAGTGTCCCCAAATGAACACCATGCTCCTCTGGCCAGAGTATTAAATGAAGTTTAACTCGATTACCAACATATTGCTTTATTTCTTGGTGGTAGTAAATTAAGGCTTTCTAGAGTCATACAGCACGCAGTGATTTGAACATTAGAATTAAAAAAACAATGAGCATTCAATTTAGCAGAGGCAGGAAGGAAGCACTGTTTTAAAACAGATAAATTTCCTAGTGAGGCCTTTTGCTGGGTCTCTAAAAATCTGCTGAGCTGTTTCCCCAGTAACCTCTGTCATAGATTCATCCCCCAAGGGGAAGTAGAATGGATGAAGAGAAGACTGGGAGAAAGGGAGAAACTGGGGAAGACAGTAGGTGCAGGGCAATCATCGTGAAAGTCGGCTTTGTCTCATGTTTGGAAGACGGTTTAGGTGATGCGGTCAGGTTGTGGTGATAAAGATGTTTGCAATGGGATGCCCCTTCTCTGATTCAGGGAGCAATTCTGGTTCTCCCTTCTCATTCTGAGAGTATTAGACCAGCTCACGTGGAAAACCCCAGTGCCAAGGGTTAGGGACAATCCTTTGTGACTCTCAAATTCTGAAACTTTAGATAGGGTCACAAGCCACAGAGCAGGGGAATGCCACCTTCAGGCCCTTTCGTAGTTCTAAACTCTATGACTATCACTAGATACTATCCCCTGCCAAACAATTCATTTTCCCCAGTGGCAAACAGTCTCGATTGCATATTTAAGCTGTTGGCAATGTTGACTGGAGAGGAGTATGAATGAAAGAAACCTCACTCTCTCTCCTCCTTCCCAACATAAGACAAAGCAACGCAGGGAGCCTACAGTGGGAGTGCAGTTGTCGAGCGCTGTGTAAGCTTGATCTGAAGCAACATCCACGTGCTTGACTCGGAGATGCACAGGTTCTGAGTCTGGATGGTGGACTCTTTGAGAAAGAAATGGATGAACCATTGGAACAGTGATGAAGAAGGTGTGTGGCCAGAGAATAATTTGGGAAAGGTTATGTGTTTATTAACAAAAGGCAAGTAAATGTCATGAAAACAAGCAATGGAATTTCTTTTGGCATCCTGATTTTGCATGAATGAAGCTGGCACATGGATTTTTATCCAAATAGGGCCATTTGAAATTCATAGTTGGCAAGATTTTAATGTTCTATTCCAAGGGCCTGGTTGATGGACCACAGCCTAAGTCTTATCAATGTGTTCCCTCTTCCATTTGTCTGGTATTTTTGAAGGAACGGTATTTAAATAGGTGGAAGTCTGCTCTGCATTCTTTGACAGAGAACATGCAGACAACCACGGAGGAAGGCACACAAGGTGGCAATCTGCACAATTAAACCCTTATGACTTAACCCCAACAGGCTTCATGTGACAAAGTCTGGATGCACAAAGAAATAAATAGATGAGAAAAGTAGCAATGTGATCCGAATGACAAAGAACCAAGGCATCTGTTCCTGCCAGCTGCAGGGCAGATGTGCCTGCTGCATGCCACGTGCGCAATGAGAAGGATTAGAAAAACCTTAGAGGACATGTGTCCTCTTGGGCGTCACTTGTTAATTAAAAATCATGAGGGTCTTTCCTCCTATTTGAAGACACTCAGAAAGATCAACTTGACTGGGGGATGTGGGCTTTGCTGGCATTAGGAATTCCATTGCTTCGTGGATGGTGTGGAGTGGGGTGATGCTGAGAGCACTTGGGCACAGAGACCACCCATCTAGCAGGGCAGGAAAAGATGCCTAAAAGACTCACCCAGCAAAACAAACAGGGATGGAAGTGATGCTCAGACTGGAGGGAAGGACGTACGGGACATGGCGTTGGCACTTCCGAATCTCCTGAAAGCATCTACAGAATCAATACTCTTGGAACAGGTAGATGCCTTGTGTGGTCTGTGCCAAGGTGCTTCTGTCTATTGACATCTCTGTTCCCTCAGCTGTAAAATGGGCATGAAGCTAATCCTCAATCGATGGCCCCTGACTCAGTGCTGGAAGCTGAAGCCCACAGAGGTCAAGTGCTTTGCCCAAGCTCACACAGCTAGTTAGTGGCAGAACTGGGGGGAGGAACACAAGTCTCTTCCTCTACCACGCTGTTTGCCACAAGTGATAGTTTAAAAAGGTTTGGAAGCACTTTATAAATACCAGGTTCTGTGATATTTATTTAACAAGAATTTGCTTGGGTGTGGGATTGAAGAGCATGGCTTAGGCCAATCACGCAGTTTAAAGAGGAGGAGGCCTGGAGAGCATTATTGTTCTGATTTACTGCTGTTGCTGTTGGGGGGATGGGTGGAGTAGGAGAGATGGGGGTGTAGACCCCTGGGGATGTGCCAGGAGGAGAGAGACAGAGGGAGAAAGAGGTGTTTCTGAAGACACTGCCATCAGCTTTCTGAGGTACATCTTTTGTGAGAAGAGGAACTGCCTACAAATGACCTGACCCCCCCAAACCGTTTACTATAGTAGAAATTTGTCCCCACTTTCCTTTCCTTGACCTCTGTTGCCCATGAGAAACTAGGAAAAATAAAAGCCAGATTCCTAAGAACCTTGCTGGAAGAAATAGCTGTTATGAGTGGGTGTCGGTGCTTACATATGCTGCTTTTAAAAAACATTTCGTTTGGTTCGTGTTTGTATGAAAACAGTGCCGGCTGGAAGCTGTCCCTTCAGAAGAAGGCAGGGTTGGTGTGCTCGATGACACAGCGCTTGCAGTGGCGTTTCACAAACCGCAGGGCCTCCACGGACACCTCGCAGTCCTGGACATTCAGCATCTGGAGGTCGAAGCAGTTGGCCGCCACGATCTGCAAGCCTTGGCCGGTGATGCTCTCGCAGGACTTGAGGCTGAGCCGCTTGAGATTGAAGCAGTTCAGGGCCAGGCACTCCAGGCCCGTGTCGGAGACCAAAGGGCATTTGCCGATGTCCAGAGACTTGAGTTTCGTGCAGTTCTTGGCGAGGTACTCCACGCCATGGTCCGTGATGCCCTCGCAGCCCCTCGCGTTGAGGTAGCGCAGCTTGCTGCAGTACTTGGCGACATAGCGGATGCCCACGTCGGTGACCCGGCCGCAGTGGGCGATGCTGAGGTACCGCAGGCGGGACTCCAGTTTGGCGATCTCTCGCAGGCCGAAGTCGCTGACGAAGCGGCAGTCGCTGACGCTCAGCTCCTTGATGGAGGTGCAGTAGATCATCAGGTAGCGGAGGCCCTCGTCGGTGAGGCGGACGCAGCGGCGCAGGTACAGGTGGGTCAGCTGCGTGCAGTGCGCCGCGATGGTGTGCAGGCCCTCGTCCTCCAGCACGAAGCAGTCCGTCATGTCCAGGTAGCGGATGGAAATCTGTTTGCCATGCAAGGGGGACAGTTTAATGGAGGCCTCCCGGGTCAAGCTGATGCAGGTCACTTTGGAGCACCCTACACAGAGAGACAGAACACACGCTCAGAGCAGCCTCCGAGAATGGGGAGCCTTACCCCCGGGGTGCAGTTACCGATTCCTACCCTTCCCTCAAGCCAGGTCCGGATGTTACCCCTTCCCTTCTTGGCCCCCTCAGGGAAGGAAAGCAAGAATGGGTTCTCCATGTTCATTTGAATGTTTAACTGCTTTGATTATCTGGGTTTAAGAGGCTTCACGGGCTTTAGAATCAGAGAGAACAGGGTTTCAATTCCAGATCCATCACTAGTTGCCTGACATTGGGCAAATCAATCCTGAGTATTTCCTTTTTCTTAAAATGGCATGATCACGTTCCCTGCATGGTGGCTGTGAAGAAGAAATGAGGCAATGTGTGCAAATTTCTGGCCTGGCCCTAGAAAGTTCCAGAAGCTCAATAGAGGTTAGTTCTCATCTGCAATGGTCTGGGAGCTCTCTGGCCAAAGAAGTGAAATACAGAAGAGTCTTGGTCCTGATCTTGCATGGGCAGAAAGAGCTCTGGCTTGGGAGTCATACCTGGTTCAAGTCTACTTTTTATAGCCTCAGGCAGGAGAGTTGACTTTTCTGAGTCTTGAGACTCTCCTCTATGAAATGGGAATGAGTAGCTGGGGTGCTTACACTATGAGGCTATAATGAGGATGCAATGAGATAATGGATATGGATGTACTTTGAAAACTTTACAGAAAACGTATGTAGTTGTTAGCCTAACAAGGAGACCATCTGGGGATTCAAGTCAACCCTCTTTGGTCAAGGAAGAACAATTGTGTCATCTTGATTATTGCTCCAGCCCCTCAACCAGTCTCCCCGCCCCGCCCTCCTGTAGCTCTTCTCCTCACAGCTGCTAGAAGGATCTGGAAAACAGAACTCAGATCATGTCACTCTGTTCAAAGTCTTCAGATGACACTCGTCTCACTCTAAGGGTAAAATCTAAAGTCTCAAGAGGCCTCCACAGACCTGTGCCCTGTGCTCTCTGACCTCGTCTCTTGCCCCACTCCTCCAACCCAACTGGGGTCCTTGCTGGTTCCCAGACACCTCAGATGCCCTCCTGCTTTAGGGTCTGTGCACTGGACAGGGTGCCCTCAGATAGCCGCAGGGGCCCGCCCCCACTTTCTTAGGTCTCTGAGCACATGTCCACATAGGACGACTCTTCCCTAACTGCTCTGGATGAAGTAGTATCCCCTGCCTGCCTCCCATTTATTTTCGGCACTCCTTATTTCTCTGTGGCATTATATATTAATTTGTTCACTTTTCTATTTGCTGTCCTCACTCTGGAATGTAAGCTCCTGAAAAAAGGGACTGCTGTATCCCTTACACCTGGTTCATAGGTGATGCTCACTAAGTAGTTATTGAATGAATGAATGAATGATTTATAGAGAGAATAGAATCTTCTATGGAGGACCAAGTTCCAACATTTAAATGTCCACAGGACTGTGACCCTGGTTGAAGTATATCTGGGTTAAAAACAGTCGTCTATTTTATCGTTAACTGTAATGCCTCTTATTTGTGTTGAACATGAAGTTCACAAAGTACTTTTATAAACATTTTCTTACCTGATTCTTAAAACAATCCATTTTACAAACAAGGAAATTAATGCTTAGGAAAATATCTTTACATGTCTCTCTAAACATTGTTTCTAATCCCTCTTCCCATAAGAATGTGTGTGTGTATAAATTATATATATATATACACACTATACATTATATATAATATATGAAACACTCATTGTATATTTCAGTTCACTATATAAAATATGTACAGTATATTTTTAGTATATAAATATAAATAATAAATATGCATAGTCAATATATATTGTATAAATAAATGTATATGTAGATATATTTCATTCTGCTACATGAACTGTACATATATTTTTCATTTTCCCTGTGCTCTTCCTGGGCACCTCTGAGCTCTGGCAGCTCACACATATCCAAGGTTTCTGAGCAGCCGCATAATAGTGCTAAAGGGGACTTTCCTCCCACCGCCTGGCTATGTGCCCAGGAAACTTATAAAATTCAGGTCCTGGGAATAATGAGGTTCAAAAGCCGCATGCTACCAAGTCAAAGAATTTCAGGAAGGAGTAAAGCATACAACCCAACACTGGAAAACAAAGCTGCGACTCGTCAGAGGCTGCCCCCACTGCTCCAGTGGGCTCCGTGGTTTTGCGGGAGGCGGTTGATACTCCTCAGCTTTAGCTTTGAAATCTTCCTTTGTTTTGGGTTTCTTTTTTTAGGCTGACTGTATTCTGCTTACACTGAATTTATATGTCCATGGTGGTGGTCGCCTGTCTGTGATGCCTGTGAAGGCACTTTGATTTTCAAGATCATATGACAACTTTTGTCCCTAAACTCTTAGTTCCAGTAATATCTCACAAAATCTGATGCATCCTAGGAAGGATACTATATTTAGTCCAGGGAAATATAATGCCTTGTATTTGAAACTGAGTCCCAAATTTAATGAAATACTAGTTTAGCCCAGTTTTGGTAAAAAGACTATTTTGATACGCTTGTATTATTTTAGATCAATAATTTTTAATTTTAACTTTAGCCTTAATTCTAACAGATTTGCTAAATTTGGGTGGAAAAGAAAATAAATTGGCTCATGGCTCAGTAGGTAATATCTGTGGCTAGTTCATGCATTCATACCTTATAGACATGGAGAGAACCTTAGAAATCATCCAACTTAACTTTCAGTTTTTTAAAGATGAGGCACCTCCAGCTCAGTAAGATGATGTGATTTGTACAGGCAGACTAGGGAAAAGTTTCTTAACTTCTGATCCAAAGCTTCAATTATAGGAGGGGTGGTAAGAAATGACAAGGATGTAGCATACAATTGATGAACAGCACGGTAGATGTGTCAGCATGAAGTGAACATTTAGACACTGGGGACTCAGAAGTCTTGGGAGTGGTGATGTTTATAAGAGGATTCTTGAAAGAGAGAAACAATTTGGGTACATAGAGATGGAGCTTAAGTAGCAAGGTGATAGCATGAGTAAATTGGAGCGACAATAAAGCACAGGGTAAGTCTATTGGGCAGTGAGGAGTGTCCATAGGGTGGAATGCAAGGTGTCTGAAAGGATTTAAAGGAAACCAAGACAGGAATGGTCCATGGAGATCAGATTATGAAAGCCTGCTTTGACCTTCAGGGTAAGGAATATGGATATTACTCAACAGGGAACAGACAATATGGGTTGAACAAATCTGTGGGCTTTCTTCAATGAATTCCAGATTTGGTTCAGCTTTCACAAATATGCTCTTCATTACCACTCTTCTCATTATTGGAGTAATAACTCTACATTCTCTGAGATGTAAGATGACCAAGTCAATGAGACAACAATTGACTTCTAAGCATGTAAATAATAATGACTGTTCAAAAATGATGACAACTATGATTTATTGAGTGCTTGCTGCATGGTCTTCAGCAGAACATAGCATGCATTAACTCATTTAATCCTTCCAACCATCCCATTTTTATTAATGAGGAAATTTTAATCACTGCACTATGGCTTCCTAAATTCTTGTTTAGAGTATTAAACAATGATAACTTTATTTGAAACTTTTAGAGGTCGTGATGACTATCTAGGGCTTTGAGGCTCCTCTGGTCACTTAAATACAATATCATAAAGTGCAAAGATAAAATATGCCTCACTTTTGCCCTTATAAAGCTCATAATGGATTGAGAGAAAGGAATCTAGAAATATGCAATTACACAATTGCAAGACCCAGTAATGCTCTACCTGCCTGAACTCAAAAGGCAGATACCTAGGAGGAAACACTTAGCTCACTGGAGGTCAGAAAGGAAATGTTCTCCTTAGGTCATGCTTGGACTGAGGCTTGAGCAACGAGAAGTTGTTAAGAAGGTTGTTGAGCAAGGTTAGGGGGCAGAGGAGGGAATGGCATTCACCCCAGAGAGGTGCCCACATCACAGAATGCACAGACATGAAGTGTTTGGGGAAATGCAGATGGTGTCCTAAGAGGGAGCATTGAGTGTACATGGGAAAGAGGTGAGAGTTGAACTTAGAAAGTGCAGCTCATAAAGGTCCTTATATGCTCTTCTGAGGAACTGAATTTTTCCCGTAGGTCATGGGGAACAATTGGAAATTTTATGAATGGTTAGACTTATAGTTTGAAAAAATCCCTCTGGAGGCTGATTGTGTGGAGGGTGGCTCGATGGGCTGACACGAGTGTCAGGAGAATAGTTAGAGAAGCATGCAACCAAGCAGGCAGGTAGAAGAGAGGGGGTGGACCCGAGGTGCTGCGGAAGTAGAATCTCTTGGAAGGATCCTACTGGTCAGCTATAAAGGGTTAGGAAGAGAAGAAAGGAGGACTCCCAGGTCTCCAGTTGTAGAGGACTCTTTTGAAGCAATTTCATTTGCAGTAATTTCAACATTTTATACTTTGAAAATTGGTTGGTTTCACTACAGTCCATTGACATTTAAAGATATTATTAATTGTGATAGTTAATTTTATGTGTCAACTTACCATATGATGAGGTGCCAAGATATTTGGCTAAACATTATTTCTGGATGTGCCTGAGTGAGCATGTTTCCGGATAAGGTTAACGTTTGAATCAGTGGATTCAGTAAAACAGACTGCTCGCCCCAATGTGTGTGGGCCTTATTCAATCCATCGAGGGCCTGAAGAGCACAAATGGTGGAGGAATGGAGAATTCTCTCTCTCTGCCTGACTGTTTGAGCTAACACATTGGTCTCCTGCCTTTGGACTGAGACTTAAACCGTCAGCACCACTGATTCTCAAGCCTTCAGACTCAGCTGAACTGCACCACTTGCTTTCCTGGGTCCCCAGCCTACAGATGGCAGAGTGTAGTTCTCAGCCTCCACATAATTGTGTGAGCCAATTTCTCTTAATAAATCTCTTTATATATATATATACATACACTATTAGATATATATATACTATTGGTTCTGTTTCTCTGGAGAACCCTGACTAAACATTAATAAAAGGTAATATGTGATAATGAAAATATATTACATCCAGTTACAGTAACTTTCGATGCCTTGAAAAGATAGCTTTCAAGGTGGGCATGCTAGGGATGGGAGGCAGTCTCATGCCCTCTGGGGGAATTAAGCCCTAGACCAGTGGTGAGTCTTCTAAAGTCAAATTTACTGTCGTTGAGAAGGTGGCCACTATCAGAGGCCAGCTACGGAAACCAAGAAGAACAATGCATAGGTGAAGTCACCTCCAGCAGCCCACTGACCTCTCCGTGTGTCAACATAATTTAAATATTCCCTCAGAACTGGACGGTACTGTTCAGAGGTGGTGACACAAATCTATCCTTTTGGCTTGTTGGTTCTTTTAACTTCATTTACCTGAAATTCCCCCCACCCCCGCCCATGCACAATTTCTGGAATTCTGTGCTCTTAACTTGGGGAGTTACAGATTCCCCTGTGTATATAGTCTCTATGTACACAGATTACAAGGGGTCATTGGAAGACATATGAGGAAGCTACACAAATATATTAGGACCAGCAAATTATCCAGGTTGATAGAGAGAAAGGGCATCAAGGCTTTCATAATGATTAGTCAAAGAGGCCAAGCAGGATCTGCTCGCTCAGGCTAGAAGCCCAGGAATATCCATTCCCAAACAGCCAAAGTAGTTTCTGCATTTCTGAATTTCAAAAGGACTCCAAAAGAGAGGGCACAGATACCTGCGGCCTGTATTAAGCGTTCAGGGGGAGCCCTTTAACAAAGATGAGGATGCCAATAAATTATTTTCTAATCTGAGAAAAGAAAGGAAAACGTGGGCCTGAAAAAGAGGCCCACAATGCTCGGAATCTTAGAATGTTAAAGAGTCCAATCCCTTGCCTCTTTGTTTTTAACTGAAGAGAAAACACGTCTAGAGAAAACTACGAATTGTCCCAAATTGCAAAGTTTTGAAACTAGTTTCCACCACATCACAATGCTTTCTCTTTCCAGAATTCCTTAGAGGAAAAATGTAAGAAAACCTCTTGGTTTCCTGCTTCTTTATGCCAACGGCTGCTTCTGACTAACTGAACATACAGTTACTATGGTTTTGTCCCGAAGCCAGCTGAAGGAGGGGAGCAGCGAGTTGCTTTCCAGCCAGGGAAAGAATCTGTGAAAAATAATTGACTGTCATCTGAAATATTTTCAGATGTCGGCTTTCGAAAGAGAGCAAGCTGAGAGAGCTGGCTTTTACCTCAGATTTTGTTGGAGAGTATCATTTACCTCAGATGCTTGTAAATCCCAAATTCTGTTTAGCACCCATCACAGTGGTTTTTACTTCTTGACCCCTCCCCACCAACCCCTGAGGTTGCAGCTCAGGCTGTACATTTCTTTAACTCCCTGATGCATCTTACACATTTCAGCCTCTCGAATGTTCGTCCTTTGACTGGGCAGCGGATGAGATAAAGAAAGGCTGTTAGTCCAGCCGGATTAACGTCTGGCGCCAAAGTGTGAGTCTGAGTTTTAATTTTTCCTGCCTGAGAGAGGTTTTCAAGCAAAGCAGCCTTGCTGGGATTTCCTTCAATTTTTAAAAGAACTAAAGGCTGCACTCGATGGGCCTGACCCTTGCGCTGGGTAATTGAGAATTTTGCTTAAGTAAAGATACAAAATCAGCCCATGGGTGAGGAGAGTGGGATGAAATGTAAGCAGACACTTGGCCATGATACATTTTCCCCAACGTTTGCAAATGGCAAGCCATCATGAGCACAGCCCGCAGCACAGAATCAGCTTAGACACAGCGCTCAGGTTCTATGGAACAATAACCAATGGACATCAGGCGGTTTCTAAACTATCTGTTTGAGTTAGATATTTGGCTCCTATTGATCTCTGTTCAGATAGTTGGGACCCATTATCTATGTTGTTCTGAAATCACAGTGAAAGTTATGGGGGAGGAAAGACACATTGAAAAGTCATGCTATCTTGAACTGCCAGAAAAAAAGGTGCCTCTAGTTTCTCTAAGAAGTTAACATTATTTGATGAAAGAAATACCTCTGGCCTCCAGAGTCACAATTACATAGAGATGGTTTCTCTGGAAGAGTCAGCCTTCCCCCTACTCACTCTCATCTTTAGTGGCTACCAAGAAGGGGACCATCTGGAGGTGGCAATGTTGTCTACTGTTTTGGGGTGGTACATGAGGAAGGCCCCAATGATGGGAGGTTAGCTGCCATTTACCTGACACATCCAAATGCTCCAGGTTGGGGCACAGGGACACCACGTCGAAGACGGCCTCGTTGGAGATATTGTAACAGCCCGAGACTTCCAGTCGCCTCAGTTCCGGGCAGCACTGGGCAATGGTGTAAAGCCCTCGGTCCGTGAGCCGCCTGCAGCCACTGACAGTTACGGTTTCCAGCATGAGACAGACGTTGGGTGTGTCCTGACAGAGTCTGCGGGTCAGCACCTTGAGGGCGCGGTCCACGTTGATGGTCTCGCCCGTCAGGCGGATAGTCCTCCAGAGCCGCGGGTCCCAGGCCAGGTTGTACCAGCGGCGGCACACACGGGCGCAGCGGCACAGTTGGTTGGTGGGCAGGAAGGAGAAGATCTGGACCATGGAGTGGTCCGGGAGCCGCTCTATGCTGGCCTGCTCTTTCTGGGGTCTGGAGGCGAGCCGGATGAGCGGGTGGGTGAGGCGGGTCGGGGGCGGGGAGTGGACCATGGCCACTGTCTCCCCGGTGATGGAGGAGGAGGAGGTGGACGAGCCCTTTCCATTCTGAAATCCGGGCAGGTTCGGTGGACATATCAAGGCTGGGCTGGGCGTGCTCAGTGTGCGCATGCTCAGGTCGGAGTCTGGCAAAGGACAGAGAGCAAAGGGTTAATAATGGCTGTAGTGGAGTCCTGCGAGGGAAGGAGAGAAGGAAGCAACCCCGGGATGACAGGATGATACTCTTGACTGCACTGATACCCATCCTGCTGAATCCATCACCGGAAGCAGAGGCTCAGGCAAGTTTCACCCACTCCAGAAAGGGGCTCGTCCTCCATCATCCACACCAGGGGTGGGCAAACTTTTCTGTAAAAGGCTAGATATGAAATATTTGAGGCGTTGCAAGCCATATGGGCTCTGTCTCTGTTGCAATTACTCAACTCTGCCATTGTAATGCAAAAGCTGCCATAAATAATATGTAACCGAACAGGCGTGGCTCTTTCAATAAAAAACTTGTTTTATAAAAACAGACCAGCTGGATTTGGCCCGGGGCCGTGTTCTGCTGACCTCTGATCTACTATAATGTGATTATTCAAAGGGGCACCAATTCCAAGTTTCATTATTTCGATTCTGGGAAGAAACCTCATATGGTATTACGACCACAAACTGATTTTGTTTTCTAGTTATATTTTGGTTGGGGGGGGTATGTTTCATTTGCAAATGAGGGGAATGGGTTTCAGAAGAAAGGAAGACCGTAGAGAACACTTGCTGTCTTTGCCCTCAGCGGCCCCTTAGCAGCCAGTCCTTCACCTTTTGGTAAATGGTACCCCAACTCTGGGGTCTGGGGAGCCACCCGCTTCCTCTCTCTCTGTTAGACCAAGCACTTCAGATGGAATTTCCAGTCCTTGAATATTTATTTTTCCTCCTTATTAACAACTCCTCCCTTTACATTTGAATAATGTGAGTCATATTCTGTGCTTGGGACTAGAATGATGAGGACATGAGTGGTTTTTAAGTTTATGAGGGATTAAGAATTCTTTAGAATACCGCTTTAAGGAATCTGCTCATTTCCTATTCCTCCCACCTAGATATATATGTATGAGAAAGAATTTATTTGTTCTGTAAATATACTTACATATTACATATTTTACATATATAGATGGATAGATTTATTTAGGAAGACATTTATTCTCTCTCTAAATATGCTTATATATTTTACATATTTTACACATATATATTTTTGTATAGCTATATATAGAGAGAGAGAGAGAAGAGAGACACACAGATAGACAAAGAGAGCCAGAGAGCTAGAAAGTATTTACCTCCAAAATAAAAATTTCTTCATCTGTGAAATAAGTGAGCTGGGCTAGATGATTTCTAAGTCATTCACAGCTCTAATTATAGCTCTAAAGACTTAAACAAAAACTCTATCCTTGTGTGCTTTTCCACATTTCATACCTTGGGAATTTTCAAACACTCGTCTTTTCAAAGAACTTCCATCAATAACATATGACACAAGAACTTCTGACACTGACACCTCTGCTCAGTGTCTGTTTATAGTTTTCTTACTCATATACTTTTTTCTACTGCTACAATTTTTTCTTTTTTCTTGTTTGCTGAGGAAGATTTGCCCTGAGGTAACATCCATTGCCAATCTTCCTCTTTCTGCTTGAGAAAGATTTGCCCTGAGCTAACTTCTGTTGTCAATCTTCCTCTTTTTGCTTGAGGAAGATTTGCCCTGAGCTAACATCTGTGCCAATCTTTCACTATTTTGTCTGTGGGTCACCACCACAGCATTGCTACTGATGAGTGGTGTAGGTCCGTGCCCAGGAACTGAACTTGGGCTGCCAAAGCAGAGCTCACTGAACTTAACCACTAGGCAACATGGCTGGCCCTTATAATTTTTTCTTTTAATTTACTTCTTTATAACCTACCACTGAAAATGTCCTTCACATGTCCATGACTTTGCTCATGGAGCATCTTTGAATAATTGTCTGCCTCCACCTCCCTTGTCTGCCTCTTGAAATACAGACACTTTTTGTGACCAAATGCAAACGTCACCTCCTCTAAGAATATGTTCCTAATGTCTTTGAGATATAATTAATACTTTACCTTTTGAAATCCCCACCCCTTGTTATACAGGCATTTGTGAATTTATCTTTCCCTAATATGCTTGATTGCATTACTTTTCTCAATTTTGCATCCTCCCTATATCCCCATATCCTTTGTCATGTGATTTTGCAGGGGCTCCTAGGCAGAGTATATTTCCTCAGTCTGGTGATGTTGGGCTTGGCCATGTGACTTGCTTTTGGCCAGTGAACGTTAGGGAATGTGATGTGCCCAAAGCCGTCTGTGTGGTTAGGCTTGCCCACTTGTGCTTCTATCCCTACCATGAGAAGAACATGCCTGCCTAGCCCACAGATTTTAGGATGATGAGAGAGACCCATGGAACAGACAGAACTGGCCCCAACCTGTGGCTGAGAGCCAAGCTCAACCAAGGCTGGCTGGGGTCAACCAACGCCCAGATGAGCTATAGATGTGCAAGCTAAAATATTGAGTTTGGGGGTGATTTGTTACACAGCATTACTGTGGCAACAGATGATGAATATCCCATCTCTTACACTAAAACCTCCTTTGAGACAAGGATTAAATCCTTTTCTTATTTGTGTCCTGGCAGCACCTGACATAGTTTATGGTACATGGTAGGTGCCCATAAATGTCTTGAATTGAACGAAAATACTTACATGTTTAAAAGATAATAATTTCTAGCTTGGCATGTACTTTTCTATCCCAGGCGGTATACATACTACATTTTAAATCATTCATAAGAAAAGAAATATGTACTTCTCTCTTTTGTTATCAGCTAAAGTAAACAGTAAATGTTTAAGGAAAGCCTTAAATGTAAACCAACTAGGGATTTCAAAACTGCCATCCAAGCTCCAATGGTACTAACCTTCATCATTATGTGTACTCAGAGAACTGCCTCTGAGGTCAGTGTTTTTCTTAGGCAGGCGAACAACTTATTTTGGGCCAGGAGGGAAGGGCAATCTTAGGCTTTCAGCTCAGACATTTTAGCAGCTGTGAGGGCTCTCAAATCTCTCTTCTGCCTTTCCCGGTTCTATTCATCTTGAAAGAGAAGACACTTAACAGCGCTCTGCGGAGACCTGCACAGCTTGAGTTAGGCTCCTGAGGGATGAAATATACTTACAGTGGGGGTGGAGGTGAATTCCTAAAACCTGCATCCATAACTGATTCATTTTTCTTCACTCTTTCATACTCCCAGCTCTGGATAATGGGAATGCATCCAGATTGCCTAGCACTGTGATGCATTCAGTAATGCTCTTGGTTTTTTCTTTCTTTTCTTTCCCAATAATCCTATCCTAGTGTTAACGGAATTCACACTCAGAGATGGCAGCCTCGCACATCTGTGAGGAACATTCTGCCCTGGGGAGGATTCAGAAGCACAGTAATAGCTCTCCTCTCTCTCCCCTCTGGAGCTTAGCAGCAGGATTCTCAGCAGTAATTCATGATAGCTCTGCACTGCTCACAGAAATGGGGAGACGAGCAGGGGAGGCTGGGAGACTTCTGCCGTGAAAGCTGGAAGCCTTTTGCCAGAGCACACACTAGGATTCTCTCGTCCTTCCTATTTATACTTACAGCAGGTCAAGAACTCTCAGAGAATTTTTGAAAGGAAACAATTTGTCGTAATTGAATAAATAGCACCTGATAATTAATAATATACAAAGAACTCACACGGCTTAACAACAAAAAAACAAACAACCCGATCAAAAAATGGGCAGAGCACATGAACAGACATTTCTCAAAAGAAGATATAAATATGGCCAACAGACACATGAAAAGATGTTCATCATCGCTAATCATCAGGGAAATGCAAATCAAAACTACACTAAGATATCACCTTACACCTGTTAGATTGGCAAAAACATCCAAAACCAAGAGCGACAAATGTTGGAGAGGTTGTGGAGAAAAAGGAACCCTCATACACTGTTGGTGGGAATGCAAACTGGTACAGCCACTATGGAAAACAGTATGGAGATTTCTCAAAAAGTTAAAAATAGAAATACCCTATGACCCAGCCATCCCATTACTGGGTATCTACCCTAAGAACCTGAAATCAGAAATCCCAAGAGTCCCTTACACCCCTATGTTCATCGCAGCATTATTTACAATAGCCAAGACGTGGAACCAACCTACATGCCCAGAAACTGATGATTGGATAAAGAAGATATGGTATATATACACAATGGAATACTACTCAGCCATAAAAAAGACAAAATTGGCCCATTCGCAGCAACGTGGGTGGACCTCAAGGGTATTATGTAAAGAGAAATAAACCAGTCAGAGAAAGACGAACTCTATATGACTCCACTCATAGGTGGAAGTTAACATATTGACAAGGAGATCTGATCGGTGGTTACCAGGGAAAAGGGGGGGTGGGGGGAGGGCACAAAGGGGGAAGAGGTGTACCCACAACATGACTAACAATAATGTACAACTGAAATCTCACAAGGTTGTAATCTATCATAACATTAATAAAAAAAATATGAATTTCCCTCTTTATCCATTTAATGTCATCTATCTAGTTGTATAGCCTTGCTGCTCAAATGATAAAAATCTATTTGTAATAGAGCATACAGATACCTAAATATGCTCATTTCAAAATTCCACCTCTGTCCTCACTTAATCAGTAAATATCTTATTTTCTTAACCAATCAATGTATGACAAACTACCCTATAAAAAATATAATAAGAAACACCTTAAAGTTTACATAGTGGAAATTAAAGAAGGCTTAAAACATAAAAAAAAAAAAATAGCGCCTGATAATTAAAAAAATAACAAAGAATGATGAGGAATGCTTTGGTCCCTTTCAAATTCTTATGTTGCTATCCTAACCCCTCAGGTGATGGTATTAGGAGCAGGGGCGTTGGGGAAGTGACCAGGTCATGAGCGTAGAGCCCTCATGAATGGGATTAGTGCCTTTATAAAAAGACCCCAGAGAGCTAGCTCTCCCTTATGCCATGTGATATTACAATGAGAAGAAGACCCTCTATGAGGAAGTGTGCCTCCACCAGACACCAAATCTGCCAGCGCCTTGACCTTGGACTTCCCAGCCTCCAGAGCTGT